AAAAAGATGGTTAAAAGAGATTAACGACCATGAAAATTTCGACTGGAGAGAATTCTGGGAGGCAAACAGAATAGGAGAGGCCTTAGAAACATCATTAAAGAAAACCAGAAAAATATTTTCGAGAGATAATGGACATACCCAGATTATCCGAACGACTAGGATGCATGATATATCGGAGAAGGTTTGAAATGGAAGTTGAAGAGTTAAAGCCGGTAAATATTTACTTAAGCGACCATGATACATTCGGTGACATAAACATTAACAAAATAAGCTTATAAAAAATTTTTTTTCGCAACATTTAAAGGAAATCGAAGTATTGCATGAAGTCTACATTGAACTGAAAGAGTCAGTCAAGTTTAAGAGGTTGCTAAAGGCAAGTATATATGTTATCATAATTGATGTATCTACATATGATGATATCATTAATTGTTCCATATGAATTATTTAAACAGACAATATTGGTGATAGGGAATCATTTAAATCGCTCGACATTCCGAGGAAATGCCGTGGGATTTCAAATTGATTGCCTCTTGAAGGTATATTCCTTTTCTAACTTGATTTCTCTATTGAAATCAACGAATGAGTAGTAATGGAATGGTCTTAACTAATTTTAGATCCAAGAAACAAAAGCATTGGACAACAATCCTAAAGGAGCGGCGACTTTGCTTCATTATTTAGTACTTACATTAGAAGATACACAAAAGGATTTACTGACATTTATGGACGAATTGAAACATCTAGAAGCCGCCGCCAGAATATCCGTAGTCACCGTAGTAGGTTCTGTTGCATCGTTAGTAAGTGGAATCGAATCAATAAAAGAAGAAATAAGTATATTGAAAAAATCAAAGTTATCTCCGAAAGGGGACATTTTTTGCGAAACAATGGAGGTATGTATATTGAGATGTCGCTACTTAAATTTATGATTTATTTTAATACTAAGTTTAACGTTAAATAGGACTTTGTTAAAAAATTTGAGCCTACTATTGAAAGTATAAATGAATTCACGGAGAAATTGGAAGAAGAACTGAAACAGCTGCTAATTTATTATGGAGAAGATCCAGCTACGACAAAACCGGAAGAGTTTTTCGGAATGATTCTCTCTTTCAGTAAAGCATTCACAGTATGTATTATCTTTTTTTTTATCGATTCGGTCAATTTGTTCAAAATTACATCATCAATATCATGACGTTAACAGGCAGCGAAACATGAAAATGAAAAGGCGAGAAAAAGGGCAGAAAAGGAGAGACAAAGAGAAAATAATATTCAAGCCCGTTTGGTAATTACATTTATAATGGATTCACGTGGTATCTATATTTTATTAAAACCCTTAATACATTTGTAATATGTAGGCATCGAGAAGACCATCGGATACCTCAAGTATTGCATCTTCTATGTCAGGAAAAGGTGATTTTGATGATGCGATCCGAGATCTAAGATCTGGGCTCAAGAAAAGTCGAACGAGACCCGTGTCAAAAGTTTTCACGGACCTACAAGTTGAAGTGGTAGTTCAAACTAGTGGTCATATTAGGGGAACAAGTAGCAGCTCACATCACCGTGGAGCCAGCAGCATACAGCACGTTCGTGTCAGTAGTACATTTTTGCATCCGTCTTCGGTTGTTGAAAAGGACGAATGAAATTTTTTCGTGTTCTATTGTTTTTAACAATATATTTTTATCATTATGAATTGCTTCGCCACATTGAAAACCATATTACTTATTAGAAGTGTATCAATTAATCTATCTAGTAATGTAGAATATGTTATGAACTATTAGTTGAATAGATATTTATTCAAAGTTTCCGAAAAGATCACCTTTCTAGATTAATGCTTATAATTAGAAACATCCTTTATTATCTATTATAGTCACAACTCTAAACGTATTTTTGTTCCTCGATTTATTATCGCCCTTTTGTCCACTAAAATTCATGCTGTTATCTAACATTCATTGTACAATATGACTAAATAAATTAACTGCATAACATTCTCCGACATTATATATACCGAAAATGTTAAATAGAACTGAAAATTTCAAATTTACTTTCTCAACCTGTTCAAATTTTAAACTGAACTGAACACATGGTGACCTGTAACCATTAAATAATAAGATGAAAAACAATATTATAATAAAGACTACAACAGTACGAGAAATTTACTAGTTTTTTGGCTTCAATATTTTCGAGCCCTTCGTTTGATATTGTATTCGCTTACCAAAATAATTAATTTGATTATACAGATAATTGTATTAAAAAGAGAGGCGATTTTCTAATACAGTACAGTGCTCGCCTATAAATCATTTCGGATCTCCAGCATCTAGAAAAGCAAGATTGATGACGTCAATGTACTTTCCACTAAACTCGTGAGTATGGATTGTAACACATCATTAATAATCATTACTAGATAAGGATCATGGCTCCATCAGGAAGATCCCACGGGCTCTGTTCACATCCTGGTCCATGACCGTATAACAGTTTTTGCACTTATAAACTCTTCTTCCACCAATGTTTTGGATGTTCCTGCAACAGCTGCAGGTTTTAGAGGTGTATGCCTCATCCTAAATGATTACCATTATACCTGTTTTCTTCAGCTGCTACCAGAACATGTAATGCAACCAGATAAAACCACTTTTGAATTGATTTTTCATTGATCTTGTTTACCATGTTCTTTACTTTAAATTTGAATATAATCACAATATCATAGTTTTGAATCAAATAGTTTATTATTTTTTGTGAAACTTTTTATATAAATTCTTAATCTTTCAAAAGATTTTTGCAATGGTACTATTTAATCTTTTTGTTTTTTTCTTTTTTCACTTTGATATGAAATTGTTTAAAAAATCTCTCTTGGAACTTAATCTGTCAGCATGTAATCCTAATCAAATCAATTTCTGTTTATTATTTTTTCTAATTTTTATTATGCCTTCAGTAGGTAAGTATATGACAAATAAGATTTATACTCCTGGATTAATAATTAAAAACTTTTTATAAATATTCTTTATATTGTATTTTTTTGTTTTTCATATATTTATAAAAAAAACCATTTATTGGTTTTTTATAATATATGAACTTGCAATTATTATTAATTTTATATAGAATTGGTTAACTGTTTGGTCTCAAAATAAAGAGATCTTAAATTATATATGTTTTTTATTAAATTGTTTGATTTTTTTCTTAATGTTTTTATAGATTTATTATAAAGGTAAAATATATAGAATTGGTTTTATTTCTTTTTAAAAAAGATTTAAACCTATATAGTAATAGTATATTTTAAATTTTTCTTAAATTTAAACAATAGTTTAGAACCTTTATCTTTAAAATTATAATTTTTTATTGCTTTTTTTTTTTTTTTTTTTTTTTCCGTAGTCAAACAAGTGCGTATGTTTATTAAATCTTTACAGAAAACAAATAATGT